TCATTCTCAAAACATTTGCTTTCCACTTGAGCCCTTGGTATCAGCTCCTCATTTTCCCCCTCCCTCCCTCTTCCCCCCTCCACCATGAACCCTTGATAATTTATAAATTATTATTTTGTCATATCTTTCACTGCCCAATGTCTCCCTTCATCCACTTTTCTGTTTTGTCCATCCCCCAGGGAAGAGGTTATATGTAGATCCTTATAATCGGTTTCCCCTCTCTATCTTACCCTCTCTCCACTCTCCCGGTATCGCCACTCTCAGCACTGGTGCTGAAGGGATCATCTGTCCTGAATTCCCTGTGTTTCCAGTTCCTATCTGCACCAGTGTACATCCTCTGGTCTAGCCAGACTTGTAAGGTAGACTTGGGATCATGATAGTGGGGGATAGGAGGGTTGGAGGAAGCATTTAGGAACTAGAGGAAGTTTTGCATGTTTCATTGTCGCTACCCTGCACCCTGACTGGCTCATCTCCTCCCCGAAACCCTTCTGTAAGGGGATGTCCAGTTGCCTACAGATGAGTCTTGGGTCCTCAATCTGCACCCCCCTCATTCACAATGATTTGATTTTTTTGTTCCTTGATGCCTGGTATGTGATCCCTTTATGCCTCGTGATCACACCGACTGGTGTGCTTTTTCCATGTGGGCTTTGTTGCTTCTGAGCTAGCTGGCCTCTTGTTTGCCCTCAAGCCTTTAAGACCCCAGGCGCCATCTCTTTTGATAGCTGAGCTCTCTTCTGTCCTTACTCTCTGGTGCGTCTTTTTCTCTGCACACTGGCTGTGTCTGCGTGTGCCACATCTGTGGGGAAAGTGTGCTGTCACACCTTAGCTTTTGCGCTTCTATGGAACAGTTGTCTGCCAGTCTCTTCACTTAGACCAATTAATCTCGAAGTCCCCGTTGTAAATTTCCCTAAAGGGGAGTTGACTGGCTCTGTGTGGGTCGGGTGTATTTCCAGGGTCCAATTCCCCCAGAGCCAATGGAGGCAGATTCTGGACCGCTAACATACAGAAGGCCAACTCTTGTGGATTTGGGAGCTTTGGGCACTGTTGTTCCCATGGGAGTGGAATTGTTGTTAGCTGGACTTAGTGCCATAGCATCCATTCTGATGCATAATTACCTTAAAGGACAGAGTAGAAAGCCTCACTTTTCTGCCACAGAGTGGCTGATGGTATTGAACTGTCGACCTTGAGGTTAGAAGCTCGGTTCATAATCAGAGTTCTTTTCTAGACTGGGAGGAGGTGGCATTCACAGGCTGACCCTAGCATCCCACACTTTGAGTAAGAGTTGCCTCAAAGAAACTTCCACCAACTCCAAAGGACGGAATGGGGCAGAGAGGACACCTGAGTCACCTCACCTGAGACAGGTGACTTTGAGGACGGTTTGCGGGCAGAGCTCCCCAGTGTGTGCTGTCTGTGGCCCACCCTCTCACCAGCTCCCTTGAGACCTTCCTTACCTCAGAGGCCAGATGTTTCAGGGGTTTGGGGACGGAGACTCATGCCACTAAGTACCTGCTGTCAGTCAGAAGTTCACCTTAATATCCCTTTACTTGAAGGGTTAAGATTACAAGGGGATGGAAGAAGAAAAGCTCTATTTAACAAGAATGGAGAATAATCTCTGAGCAAGGCTAGCTCCTCTTGGTGGTGTGTTTCTATCAAGAACTCCTGGTGGCGCGGGGGTTAAACCCACCCATTGCTAACCAGAAGATGGGTGGTGCCCACCAGTCACTCTGAGGGAGAACGAGTCAGTCTGCTTCTGGGAAGAGTTACAGCCGGGAACCCCGCGGGCGGCACAGTCCTTCTCAGTCCTGCAGGGTTCCATCTGAAGGCAGTGGGGTTCTGTTGTTGTTGTTGTTGTTGTTCTTATGTTGTCTCCAACAGGGGTTTTGTCTTTTCTCACGTTACAGTCCCACTTGTGTCTTTTTCAGCGTGTTTCATGGTTTGAGAGCTAGACTCTAAGATGCTTGCCATGGTTTTTGGCAGGACTTTTGCCAGAACTTTCAGAGACCCTTGGGCGGTGCAAACGGCTTGCTTTTGACCATTAACTGAAAGGTTGGTGGTGCAATCCCACCTAGTGACTCCGCCGAAGACCATGGAAAAGCCTGGTGGTCTGCTCCCATAATGATTCCCATCAGGAAGCCCTCTGGAACAGGGCTGCTCAGTACAACAGGCGGAACAGGACCAGTCCAGGGGCTTTACACCCATCATCAGGTGGTTGAGAATAATGCCCAACCTCACTGCTATCGGGTTGATTCTGACGAACGGTGACCCTCGAGGACAGAACTGCCCCTGTGGGATCCCGAGACTGTAACTCTTTACCGGAATAGAAAGCCTCATCTTTCCCTCATGGAGCAGATGGTGGTTTAGAACCGCTGACCTTGCAGTGAGTAGTCCAATGTGTCACTATGCCACCGTGGTTCCTTGCTTTATGGGAATGTTGTTATGTTGTTAGGTGCCACCAAGTTGGTTCAGACCCACAGCGACCCTATGCACAACCAACAGGACACTGCCCGGCCCTGTGCCACCATCACAGTGCTCCTGTGCCAGAGCCCGTTGTGGCAGCCGTGGTTTCTGTTCCTGCGTGCAGGGCCTGCCTCTGTTTCGCTGCCACTTCACTTTACCATGCCTGATGGCCTTCTCCAGGGGCTGGTCTCTCCTGCCGACATGTCCAAAGTGGGTCAGACAAAGCCTTGCTCTCATTGCCTCTACAGAGCATTCCCGTTGGACTGCTCCTAAGACAGATTGGTTTGTCCTTTCAGCAGTCCAGGGTACTTTCAATATTCTTCTCCGGCACCGCAATTCAAAGGCATTAATTCTTCTCGGTATCCTTTATTCAAGGCCCACCTTGCCCATGCCGATGGTATGGTTAAAAACACCGTGGGAATAGGGAGCCCCATCTTTCTCCAGTGGAGAGAGAGGTTGGTGGTTTTGAACTGTTGACTTTGCGGTTAGCAGCCCAATGCTTAACCCACTGCAACACCGGTGTTCCTTGTTAAGAAATCCATTCTCACATAAAATATAACTTTATAAGAGTGTGTGGTTAGGTTAAGAATCCTGGGACTCTTCCTATCTCCCTGCACCAGAATCTGTTTCTGCCAAACCATTTGCTGACCTTTTTTGAGAGTCAGAATGGGAGCCTGGACAGTGGCGGGGAACGTGGGGGGCGGGGAGGAGAGAGGCTTAGTGAGACAGGCCCAGCAGTTCCACAGAACGAACAAGGGTTCAGGGGGCATTCTGGCAAAGAGAGGCTGGAGCATTGAAGGGGGCGAGAGAACTGGGGAACAGGACAAGGGGAGGAGAAGGATGACTCTACAAATCCATGTTTGTCAAAGAACACAAAGATCGGAATTCCTTTCCTACACATTTTGACCCTTCAGATCATCCAGCTATCCTTAGCTATGAGTCCATGTGGAGTCAGGGGTATGAGGCTCGGAGATTCCAAAAAGCTGAGAAAAAATTCACCATCGTGTGGTGGGTAGGAGGAGAGGAAGGGGGAACCGACGGCAATGATCGACACATAGCACCCTAGCACCCCCCCCCCAGGGGATAAACAACAGAAACGTGGGTGAAGATGGGCAGCGGTCAATGTAAGAGATGAAAATGATAATAATTTATAATTTATCAAGGGGTCATGAGGGCGGGGGAGGGGCAAAAGAGGAACTGATACCAAGAGCTCAAAATAAAAAGTAAATGTTTAGAAAGTAATGATGGCAAGATATGTACAAAGGTGCTTGACACAATGGATGTAGGGATTGTTATAAGAGCTGTAAGAACTCCCGATAAAATCTTTTTTTTTAAAAGTTCACTGTTAACCTTTTAATTGAAGTCTTTGTCCAGCATTGCAATGTAGCTTAGCTATCAAACGGAAAGTCCTACGTGGCTTGGCTTACAGAGTGGATTTCATCCCAACTTGTGTTTTCCAGGTTGGCGTTTCCAGTAACAGCCATTTCCCTTCTCTTGCAGACCAAGATCTATTGGAAAGCATCTTGATAGACAGTTATATCTTCCCAAGTACCACAATAGTAAGTAGCCCCTCTTCCGCCATCAGCTTGACTCACGATGGTCATTTGGAAAGCTTTTTAAAATCCTTGAAGCTTACATAACAGCCCGTGTGCTTGGCGCAAGGACACCTCTTCACGGTGTTTTCTTAACTCCCTCCTAGTTCTAGCATTGGCCGCGAGCCGTGTCTCCTTTCGTTTAAATGAACATACCAGAACTCATCTTGTTGGGAAGTTTTGTGTGTCTTTTTTCTATTTTGAAGACTGTCTCTCTCTGCAAATCCATCGGGACTGTGTGGAAACAGCCCCATCCATGTCTCCTCTGTATGAAACCAGTCCCGGAGTGGACACGGTTGCCACTAGCAGTTTTGTACTCTTTCTCTGTGTGTTTCCCCTTGGTAGCCAGATCACTTGAGCAGCCTTATTCTCGTCATGCTGTACGATTTTCAAGATAGAAAATTCCAGCCTCGTCTGCTTTCTGACAGTGAAGACGCCGTATCAGAAGTCGAAGACGTAGAAAACCTTCTTAACAGGTAACTGTGAGAAGGAAGATGTACTGTGTGAACCCAGCGCTAGTGGGTTTGTGTTGTTTTGTTGTTTGTCTTATTTTTTTTATCATTTTGGGGGGCTCTCACAAATCTTCTGACAGTCCATTTATCTGTTGTGTTACGACACTTGTACACAAGATGCCATCAACATTTCCAAAACATGTGTTTTTGTTGGTAGAATTGTACACAGCCAACAAGAAGGTCCTGTATCTACTCATGTATAAGCTGAGTTTTTCAGCACGTTTTTAATGCAGTTTTTGTGGTAATATTAGGTGCCTTGGCGGGCATTTGGGCCGGCTTATACTCGAGTATATACATTAGTGCTAAGAAGGGAGAATATTAATAAACTACCTGACTCCATTTCCAAGGAGTCTTGAACAGTGAAAAACTCCGTTTTAAGATCAAGTTATTTTTGAAAGCTAGAATGGCAGGTTCTAACTTGTAAGTATGTGGGAAGCCATGAAAATCGCCAATAATTTTTACTACTTCCATAAACTTCAATAAAAATAGCTATCATTTATTTACCTAGCTTCATGAACAAGGCTTAAGAAAAAATCTAGCATGGATCAGATGAAAAATATCCCACAGTATGAATAGTGTTAAGAACCCACTATTTGGCAAACTGGGGGAAAAAACCCCACCACAAACTTAGTTAAGATAAAACTTTTTTTGTCTTTGCAACAAAAATGAAATATTTATTAAACAATTGTATATAAAGTGACTTCAACACACAAGACACCTGATGTGTTCAATTAGTTATGAGAACCTGTGCTCATTTTATGACTGAATTCTCAATATTTTTTAATAGATTTTCATTATTTGTCGATGGAATTTTACCAAAATACTTCAGTTTATTACTGAATGCTGAGAAATAATTTTGAAAGTCAGTATCTATTAAACTGAAGTATTTCGGTAAAGATAAAACTCTTCACAGGTTTTTGTTTCTTTTTAGCCTAGATCAGTGGTTCTCAACCTTCCTAATGCTGCAACCCTTTCATACAGTTCCTCATGTTGTGGTGGACCCCCACATAGCTATTTCATCACTGTAAGTTTGCTACAGTTATGAATCGGGTGACCCCCGTGAAAAGGTTGTTCGACCCCTAAAGGGGTCTCGACCCACAGGTTGAGAACCTCTGGCCTAGATGAAGAGGAAGCCAGTCCTGGGGCTAATCATGTTGTTACGAGGGCTAATGAAGCCAGTGCCAGTCAGATGCTTAGTGTAGACAGCGTAGTCAGTGGTCAGCACACGCTGACTTGCACGTTGTTGTGGTTTAATAGAAAGCACACTGTAACAACAGCCAGCCTCCTGAGAAGACTTTTACCAAGGCAGTAGTCCCCAACAGTGTTGCTGGTACCATGTCTGATTTCATCTTTTTATGGGACATTCAAGCAGTTCACCGAGGATTCCATTACCTTTTGGCATTTTTAGGTGTTGTTAGATAAACACCCAAACTTCACTTATTTTGTTCATTGTTGGTTGGGGAAAGCTTGCAGCCATAAGGTCCCTGCTGTGTCTCATGCACTGGCTCCTGGTTCTGCGGCGGCGGCAGCTCCTTTGGTGTCCCAGTGTCTCCTGGATCCAGGAGGCTCAGTGCACAGGGGTCTCCGGGTCCAAAGGGTGCACTCCCCATGCTCTTCTCTCTTGCTGGTAGAAGAGCGTGTTTGAGGTGCCTGGTTTTAGACCCAGCAGGTTGGCCGTCACATTGAACCCTGTTAACCCAGTCCCTCACAGCTGAATCACATCAGCCAATCAGTATCTCCCCTCCCACCACCCACCCCCACCCCCACCCCCGCCACCTTCTCACCCAGGCCCACCAGGAAAACAGGTGGTTTGGTAGGAGTAACAAAGGCTATGGCTATAAAAGCATATTAAATCATTCTCTGCATTACAGACCAATAGAGCAGAGAAGAACTGCCCTCTTGGGTTTCTGAGACTGTAAATCTTTACCGGAGCCTCATCTAGTTCCTTTGGAGGGTCTTGTGGGTTTGAACCACTGACCTTGTAGCTAGAAGCTCAATGCATAGCCCGCTATACCACCAGGCCCCTGTGATTTTTATTTTCAACCTCAAAAATTAAAGTCAAATTATGGGAGAATTTGCTAAAACTGTAAATGAAATTTATTAACTTTCTAGTGGGAAAAGTGATAACTCTTGTTTCAAATGCATTTGTCACTAAAATGGATTTTTTTCTCTCTCTAGTTTTAAGACAAAATTGGCCGCGTCTTTGGCAAGATATCGAATCAAACATGATGCCCTTTCAATTTACCACATTTTACCAGAAACAGTTAGAAAACAGGAACTAAGGGCCTCCACGCTGCCACTTTATGCTTGGATAAATACTTGTAAAATCAGGTATGCTTGTTACAAAACCCGTTCAAATGTGATAAGTAATATTACCCTTTTTGAGGGATGATGTGGAGGGCAAGTAGTGCTTGGGGAATATTGTTTAGCTCAGGATCTTATCATGGAAATACTACAGGTATTTACACAGTAAACTTTTTATGTCCCTAAATATCTTTTAACTTACTGTTGGATAATATTATAAGTTACTTTTGAAGCATTATATGTAGTTGATATTGTTCTTTGTTGCAGGAAAATGATGTTGGTGTTAAATAAATTCCAAAGTATTGTATTTGTATTTACAACCCAATGTTGTATATTTATAGCCCTGAAGAAGTTTATAGTAATCTGAGGAGAAAAGGCTATCATAAAGTCCAGTCTGTATTGCACATTGATGATAAAGTCTTTGCTGTGGACAAACATTGCTATGATGTCTTAATTTTTCCATCTCATCTTAAAAATGATCTTTTAAGCATAGATCTTGTCAAGGATTACAAGCTTGTATTCCAGGTAAGCCAGCATTCCTTTCACTGTGAGCCTTGTCTAACAATACGACTTAGTCTGAACAGGCCCTTACACGGTATCTGTTGTTCATGCGTTATCAGGAAGGTGTGTAAGGCCTCGTTGTCCCCGAACAAACACCTCTGCACTCAGGGCTCGTGTTGCACTTCGAACACCTCTGCACTCAGGGCTCGTGTTGCACTTCGAACACC